AGAGTAGGCCAAAAAAAAAAAAAAAAAAAAAGTAGAGTAGGCCATTGGCAGTTCTCGGCGTTGTCGAGTAGAGGAATTGACGACGTGAAAACAGTCTAGTATCCGAGGGCTTTGAAGTAGTGATCGATATAGAGTATTATCGACTAAGGACAATAGCACCAGCTGACCTAGCTCACTTGCTACACCCATGAACTGTTGAAATACAGACCAGGTGCGGAGTTCGAACTCTGCTAGAAGCAGACGAGTAAAATACTAGAATTCTGAATTACTTAGGGACGGTCCGTTCAATGATGATATCACAAAAGAACAAGAAAAAAAGGACAGCAGCAATAGTCCAGGAAGAAAGCCTGATAACGCTAGAATTGAGGACTGAAGTAAAACCACGCACAGACAAGCAGTCCTCTGTGGCCCAGTCCGGTTGCTCGTCACCGGCAAGAATGTTTGTACATCTGAAAAGAGGAGGGGGGGAGAGCAGACAATACAGAGGACCAGCCCGTCCCTTGTGATCCTAGACGCCTGGCAAGGGGGGAACAGCAGGACCCTCTGACATTGAGAATGTGCAGAACCCTCCCCTCACCGTCATCCTCACAGTGCACTCTGTTGTTGGTTAAGGCCCTGAAACCAGCCTGCCAAACTTTTGGCACTGTGTGGGGGTTGTGGGGAGGCCTGTCGTTGTTCGACTGTTCTGTTGCGTTGAAGATCTCTAACGGCCACAGTTTTTCTTTTTCTTTTTGTTCGCGTGGTGTGCGTGTGTGTGCCTGGTTTTTCAGGAGAAGTGGTGGTGGTTTGAGCTGGAGCTCTTGCTAAGAATGTGTTCTGTTGATGTCAACTTGATGGTTTATCTATCTTTGCCATTTAGGGCATTCTCGCTCTCGGACTTGACCGAATGCATCTGACCAGAACGACATCTACATTCATTCAAAGAAGTCCCAGTATGGCTAACTAATGGTTCATGTCTGCATGCCATTTTGAACCGTCAATGGCTGTTGTGTTCTGTTCTGTTGATTTCTTCTCTCTCTCTCTCTCTCTCCTTGTTGTTTCCGACTACAGCTGCGGACAACGCCTGTCAAGGGGAAATGCATTCTGGTCTCTGGACACGATCTCAAGGACCTTTATGAGCTTCTGAAAGCAACTGAAGGAATGGGAATCAATGTGTACACACACGGCGAGATGCTACCAGCACACGGATACCCTGAGGTTCGGCCACAACCTTCCCTTGCTCCTTTTCCCTGCCTGGCATCAATGTCTCTTGGTCTTCTCTGCTCATGTTTTACTAGGTGATCAGGCAGACACCCTGCTTCCCTCTCTCTCTCTCTCTCTCTCTCTCTCTCTCTCTCTCTCTCTCTCTCTCTCTCTCTCTCTCTCTCTCTCTCTCTCTCTCTCTCTC